CAGCTCCTCTATCACAAAAAGTATTTAATTGAAAACTATTTTGTGCAAAAATATTATACACATTTTAAGATTAAATTCTTCGGGGCTTATAAAAAATTATACTTTCTTCGGAGAAATAGTTTATTTTTTGGACGAAGTTTCAAAAATACAATACGTTAGTTTTCAAAAATATGGCTTTTCAGAGTAGTTTTAGGTGACTTAGTTTAGATGAAATATATGTAAATATATGCAAATAAATTTTTGGAAGAATTTGCTTTCGTTGCTGTCTTCTCAGATTATGTCTTTCTTTTTATAAAATGTGCAGTTAGTCAAAATAGCTTCCAAGGAAATTAATTTGATGTCTTTTTAAAGATGATCAGAAAATACATTTCTATTAGTCGTACAACAACGCATAGGTTCGAACTTTTATTCAGTATGTAACAATCTAATAAACTTTTTGTTTAACCAATAATATAGTTCAACATTCGTTCCTTAAAAGAAAATTTATGCGAAATTATGCAAAATGAATAAAAAAGGAGGTACATTCAACTTGAAATCACGCCTTCGTTTTTTTGAATGCAGGAGAGAAAAATGGAATTTTTTTGATTTTAAGTTAGATTTCATGTAGATGGACAAGCTTCTGTCTGAATGCTTTTCAGCTGTGTATTTGCTTAATGATATCATTAATATATGAGTAAAATAAAAAGCTGACATTCGTTTCATTCGATTGCTTTTGTTGAAAGTTTTACATTTTCAAAAAAGAAAAATTAAGTGAAATTTCTATTTGAAAATATATAAATTATTATATATATATATATATATATATATATATATATAAGAATTTGGAAAATTTGAAGTCATATGTTTTATAGTAAATAAATGTGCATAGGAGAAGTTTGGTATCATGTGCGATTTTGATGTTCCTTTTTACTTCCTTGTACAAGGAAGTAAAAAGGAAGTATTGTAATCTCGAAAAAGTTTCAGGCAGCATATTTCAACGAAAATATCCATTTTGACCGCTATCGAAAGCAATTTAACGATGTTTTTGCGTGATATCTGTACGTAAGAACAGAATAAAAGACTCGTTTCCTCGCATTATAAAACTGCTTTAAAATTAATTCTGAAGAGAATTTTTCGTGGCGTCTGTACGAGCGTATGTACGTACGTGCGTACGTACGTACGTATCTCGCATAACTCAAAAACTAGTAACCTCAGAACGTTGAAATTTTGTATATAGGACTGCTATAACATGTAGATGTGCACCTCGTATTATGGTTGCAATCGGCCGCACCAAACGTATATAAATATATTTATATATATATCCATTCCGTTACCCGGCTCAGTGATCTCAGTTTCTTCACTCTTATATGTTTGTAAATTGTACATTTTTTGCTTTAAAAATGATTGAATTATGTTGTTTTTATCTTCCGGTTAAGGTTTTTATGCCTTTAGTAAATCTGTATGCAATATTTTTAGAATTATCAACAATTTTAAAGTTGTTTAAGTGCCGCTAAGCCTTTATTTTCATGGCGGCCATTGATTGTTTACATTTGAAACAGCAAACTAGTGGATTTGTTGCCAATCTAGAGAAATTTAGCTTTGCGACAACAAAGATAACGCCTTAATTTATTATTGCCAATTAAATCATGCTTAATCCTTTCTGGAATTTTTTCGAGGAAATAAGTGTTTAAGATTTACTTCGTAATTTTTAATATAGATATTTTGAGTTTTTATGTATTTTCGCCTTCTCGCGAAGTGAGAACTGAATTAATTGAATGAGAAATACTCAATCGTCTGTGAAAAACTCTTTTTGTTTTGTTTGCTTAATTTCTTTTATACATCATTCTAGCTTTATTATAGTATTTGAATAGAACATGTGAAAACGATTAGATAATTCTATTCTTTAAATGATATAAATTTTGTGCATTATGAGTTATAATATGAACGAAATATAATACTGTTAAGTGAATCTAGCGCCAGAATGTCGCTATGGTAAAACATACTACAGTCAATTTTAAAGAATGCATTTATTCTATTGTGATTTATGCGGTGTCGGCGAAGTAGATTTAATTCAATCCAATAAGTTTAAATGAAATGCAAGAAAAAATGCGTATAATTTAATATTCCGTACAAGGAAGTCATGAGGTGTACACATCAGAATTTTTGTTTCTAGTTAACAAGCATTTCGAAGCCGGCATAGATAAATTAGAGCAGTGAAAGTGAATATGAGATGTTCACGATGAAATTTTAGTTCAAAGTGATTTGTTTAGGTTTCCTCTGATTGACTAATAACTATTTCCTAAAATTATTATTACTTGATATCTTTATGTAAGAGCGTTGTGTAAGAAACATATGACAGCGGTTAATTTCAAAAAGACGCAGTTCAGGTTTTTGGTTTGGTTTGGTTTATTTGACAAGCTAGGGCTATCTGCCTGAGTGATGGGATGCCTTTATGGAGGACTTTCGGATGGAAACTCGCTCTTATACACGTACCCATGGGAAAAACCACGAAAATGGCCTATGCAGCCAAGCCCGTTTGCCTGGAACTGAGGTCGAACTACCAGTGTTTAGCGCTCGGCCGCTTGTGAATTAGGAAGCAGCTCATAGAGATTTATCATAAACAGTCATTATTTATAAAATGGTTTGGGTTTGGTTTATTTAATTAAGGCAAAGTACTGATAGCTATCTGCCTAAGGCGACGGATGCCTTCGTTGATAATATCTAAGGAAAACTGGCTCTTATCCATGTTACATATGGGGGGGGACCAAGAAAATGTGAATGCAGTTAGCCCGTTCGCCGGGATTTGAAACTCTAATCCAACTACTAGAATTCAGCGACTTTACCGCTCTGTTGCTAGTGTACTATACGATGGAACGGGAGAATAGACAAATCAAAATGGAAAGTTGAGGGACTATTGCAAATTAAATTAAGGATTTTGCCTTACATATTTTTTTATTTTACACACACAAACACACAGATATGTATTATATCTACTATCTACATATATACTATATACACACACATGTAACTTGAAATACAGAATATCTAGATTTATTATTTTAACAGGATGACACCATCTTTCTGATCCTTCCAAGTTTACTGATGTTAAACTCATTTAAAGCAGTTTCCGTTTAAGGTGTAAGTTAAAGTAATGTGTAAGCAATAAACATGTTCAAACAAAATCAGGTAATTATTAACAAAAGTAAAATTTTTTATGAGGTTTCTGGCAAGCATTCGGTACCCGTGCCAGAAACCAACTGTCAGATTGTGCATGGAACCAAAAACCGTCACATCGTGCACGGAATGGTAGGAATTGATATGGATTTAATGTAACAAGTTGAAAGAAATATATTGTTACGAATTTGGTATTTAAAAAAAGCTAATGTTAGTTCAATTATAAATTAAATGGTTTTATTCTCGCGCAGTGCAGCGCGTGACGAATATTAAAAGAAAGCTAAGCCGGAAAAATTAAAAATACAAGAGCGCGTGCGTTAAATAAATAAATATCTCTTTTTGATTTCGAGAAAGTACTGAAAAATTCTAGCGCGTGATTTTAAAATCTTATAAAAGGAGGAAAACATCTCAGTTTGTAGTAGTTGCTTAGTTTGTTGTTGTTTAGAAAACTGCCGTTGTTGATTATAGCGAATTCGCGGATTAGCGTTCTTTAGCTGTTTTGAATTACGTTCTATTGTACATTTGAGTAGTTAAAAGATAACTACTGTGAGATATTGTAATACTGCATGATAATTTGAGAAAATTTAAGCATTTTTGTTGTAATAATAATAAATTTTTATTCATTTTTCATCGGACTTGTGCATTCATTTCATAACGAACCCGTACGCACGCAACAATATTACTGCAGTCAAATATTAAATTATTTTGAAAATCAAATCTTCTCTAAAATAAATTAAATTTTAGCTGTGAGTAGTAGGTAATTATAAGTCTGTTACTGAAGACAAAAAGGTATAGTGAAAGTTATCGAAAAATTTCATTGGAATTATGCATATCTATTGCTATCTTTTATTCATGTCTTGAAACAAAGCAGTCATATGAAGAGACCGCATTGTTGCATCGCTTCGAATAAATCATTTCCTTAGAAAGCTCAGTATAATGACATAATGAAAGTTAAAGTATTTTAGTCAGCCGAAACAGTTTGTTTCGCAGTAAATTTTGGAAAAATGTGAAGCTTGTTTCTGTAATAATCCTGTAGAATTTTTTCTCAGGGAAGTGCTAGTAATATAAGCTGTTCTTTCTAGAAAGCACTTTAAATAGTTATCTTTACAACATTTGTCATATTTAAATTAAAAATATGAAAAGATAAAAAAGTAATAAAAAGAGGAAACAAAGTTTTATGTAATTCACGTGTAAAATAAAGTCCATTAAAAAGTATGCAGCTTTTATTTTTGAAAATATTTTATCTTTTCAAGCTAATTTTATTCAATTTTAAAAAAAATAATTCTATATATTTACTGCAATATCCTTGAGATAATTTTTCAACTTTCAACTCTATATCTCTATATTTTTAGCATATAGTATTTGCTAATCCAGTAAAAATAGTTACGCAAGGTAATCAAAATCCCATATCGCCACAAATACTTTGCAACTATAAGTCATGTCATATTTCCCAGAAAATTAAGATATAAATTTTTATTTTAGATATATATGAACTACCGTCGCTTTAGTTACCTGAACAATACATTCAGAGCTTCCCGTAAATTAAAATCCCCATCTATGTTACTAAAGAAAAGAACTCTATATATGCATATATTTCTTTAAAATTTATACGCATATCCATTTGCTTTAGCTGTATATATGTATAAGAAGTCTAAATAAATATTATGCAGAAAAAATAAAAATTATATAATAAAATTTGTATAGTATAAGGCACTTAAATTTCATACGTAACTGCTAATTTACATACACTACATATCCTATATATGGATTTTGTATAGATGCTATAGAAGGGGTCTGTATATTGTTTTACTTTGATGACTAAGGAAGAACAAAGCACAAAAGCGTACCTGCGTAGGACCAATTATGAGTGCGCCCAGTCAAAAGAGAAAAAGTCAAGCTCCTGAAAAGGAATAATATTCCGGAGAAAGGTGCGTCGGGGAAAAGTTGCTCTTGAGCGCGCAAGGCAGCAAAACTCGGTAAATGAGTTTTAGGCCAACTTGTTTGAAGATATATACGGAACACGCGGTTTGGCAGCCCTGAGCACTCGCAACGAATTGAACTAGTTTCTCGTTTTCGCTTGAGCAACTCTAACCTGAGACATCCTCCACTAAAGAAACGCTTTTTGCCGGATCTTAAAATGGGTGTCCGTGAGAAATTTTTGGCGGCAATTTTCAGAAATCTAACATTTGCTTCATTCTTTTGTTCTATATAAAACGGTTAGAATTTGCTTCCAACTGATTAGCTTCTCAGTCACAGATTAATACAATAAAAAGGAAAATGAATGTTATAACAAATTAAGAAACGTCAACGAAAAAAATTGCAGCAAAATATATCATGGAAAATTGCTTATAATATTTTAGAACAAGCATAGCTTTCATATTTTGTTTTTGGAAAATACAGAAATACTATTTTATTATTTTCTTTTTCTTTCCAAAAACTCCCCTTTAAAAAAAGAGAGAGAGAAACACTGAAATAATAATAATAATAATAATAATAATAATAATAATAATAAAAAAAAAAAGAAAAGAAAAGAAAAGAAACAAATATTTCCAACTTACATCTGAAACACAAAATTATAAATTGTTCTATTATATTCGCAGATTTTTAAATCTGTCCAACTATCACAATTGCATATAATATGAATTTTTAGAAATATTTCAATTTAAAGGATTATTAAAGTTATCAAATCAAATTTATTACTTTCTAGTTTTAATATTAACACATCTTAACTGGAATAAAACCACATTTACGTGACTACACTTCTTCCTTCAACATTTCAAATTCGTATAAGATCAGACAAGTATTTTTGAGGAACTTAAAAATAATCGAATTTTTGATAGGAAATTTTATAATGATATTTAGAAAGATGAATACGGATAAATCTGTTAAAAGAGTTGACTGACAGTTCTTTAAAAACAATACTATCCGTTCATCGTCACTTTATAAAAACCACAAATACAAGGAGGGGGAATAAAAGAAAATTTGAAAGGATTCATATTTTGCGAATAACAGAAAATTTGAAAGGATTCTGATTTTAAAGTCACGTCAGAGGTTGCTTCGATACAGTTTTTTATGCTATATCTGAGCTTTGCAGGTTATCAGCTTGCTCTTGGATTCATTCCTGCTAACACAATTATTTTGTCTTTCTAGCTTTACTATTAAAGATGGCTTTCTTTCACTTGCAACATATAAAATTCAAGTGAAATTTCACAAAACATTTAAAAATAGCATATCTTCAGAATTCCCGATAGAGTGTTAGGGGTTGTCATACACTTTTTTTTATATTCGCTACATTATTTCTTTCAAAACACCGGCCTTTGAGAATTATCATAAAATGTTATTTCATAAAAATATTTGTATATATATATAATAAATTAATGTAATATATATATATATGTAATAAATATGCCATTTCATAAAGATATTTGATATTTCTGATTAGACATCATATGATTTAGATGCATTTTTATTTAAATCAATCATATTAAAATTAAAAAAAAACTATTTTAAGAAGTGCTTTTATTGCTTTTCAATTACTTGAAAGCTAAATATCTTACGCTTTACTAAATGACAACATTCTGGTACGTGGAGATAATGAGTATTCTATTTGAGGCAGTCGTAACACATTGCTTTCAAATAGCAAAATTTGTGAATTAAAACTGAAAGGTTTATCTTTTCATTCTGCCGAATGGCATCAATCTGACAAGCTGTATATAAAAATGTTTCAGATCGAAGATTATGGCCATATTTCGCTTTTAAATCACTGAATTTGTTAAAAAATTTTTAACTTACAAAATACGAAATAAATCAAAACCAGATTCGACATTCAAAATTCGTAAGTCAAGATGCCTATGTTGGGGTGGATGTTTACGTGTTTTAAAAATTCCGTGGTTGTAAATGGCATTGTTTTTCCATAACGCAAGAACTATACATACATACAAGCTTCTTCATTGTTTAATTTTTTTTAAATTATACATCGCGATTGGTGGTAAAATTTTGAAAAGTGATTCAGTCCAAAAGCGAATTTGAGCCAAATAAGAACCTTCACAAAAATTTATTAAATGTTCCACACGTGCTTCATTTTGAGAACATTGAATTGGGTAGTAATTTTTCACTCTAACCCTCATAGAGTGTCTCACAAAAGTCATCGGTCACTTGTGCTTTACAAAAGGAAACGTAATAAAATAAATTTAAAAAACATGTAAAAATTTTTTGTGGGTGTGTTTAGTAAAAATTTAGTAACAATTATTACATAACATACATTTTATCAAAATATTAAAATATTAATTTAATAAAAATACAATTGTTCAGAACGGAGCAAAAAATGGCTCACATAAGTGATGGGACACCATTAGATACTACTACATACTACAATAAAAATATTTTTGGGGTTTTTATTTTTACTCAAAATCAATTGGCAATAATTTATAAAATCGTCTGCAGTATTTCTCTCCAGTTTGTTTTGGAAATTTTGTGTCTTTTAGCTCTGTGCAGCCATGAATGCTAAACGAAAAGAAACTTTGCTTGAAATTTGAAAATTGGTTATTAATTTGCATATTGAACGTGGAAAATCTATTAGAAAAACTGCTGAAACAGTTAACTTGAGTCATTCAACAGTTTTCAATATCATTAAACGATATAAAAAGAATCATATGATTCAGGATAAAAGAAGACCTGGCCGACCATCAAAGCTATCCAATGGAATAAAGCGAATTATCGTTCGAAATATTAAAAAAAAACTCCAAGAATGAGTGCTCCTAAAGTTGCTGTCTGATTTACAAGCATTATATGGAGTAATTGTTAAACCCTGAGACTATTAGAAGAGTAATTCGATCTGCTGGATATCACGGTAGAGGAGCCAGGAAAAAATTCTTCGTAAGTGAAAAGAATAGAAAACTCGGACTGGCTTTCGCAAAATCCAACATAAATAAGAACTCTGATTACTGGAATGAAGTTATATTTGCTGATGAGAGTAAATTTAATATATTTGGTTCTGACGGTAGAATCTTGGAGTGGAGAAAAACCAGGGAAGAATTTCGCAAACAGAACTTGGTGCCAACAATAAAACATATTGGAGAAGGAGTTATGGTATGGGGCTGTATGTCGTCCGCTGTAGTTGGTAATTTCGTTTTTATTGACAGCATAATGGATCAATACAAGTATATCGACATTTTAAATCAAAATTTGAAATCTTCAGCACGAAAATTGAACCTTCATAACGATTTTAAATTCTACCAAGACAATGGCCCCAAGCACACTGCTTTGAACGTTAGACTCTGGCTGCTGTATAACTATCCTGAAATAATAAAAGCACTACCACAATCTCCAGACTTAAATCCCATAGAGAATATTTGGCAAGAATTGGAATCAAGAATTCGCAAACACACCATTTCTTCAAAGCAACAATTAAAATCGGTGCTTCAAGAAGAATGGGGTAAAATCGCTTCAGAAATCATAAAAAAATTAGTCGAATCCATACCAAGAAGATTAAATCATGTTTTAAAAGTAAAAGGAAATCCAACAAAATATTAAAACCTTTTAAAAAGTAAAATTTTTGGATAAATATTTGATGGAAAAGTAAGTGTCCCATCACTTATGTGAGCCATTTTTTTGCTCCGTTCTAAACAATTGCATTTTTATTAAATTAATATTTTAATATTTTGATAAAATGTATGTTATGTAATAATTGTTATTAATTTAAGTATGAAACACACCCACAAAAAAATTTTACATGTTTTTTTTAAATTTATTTTACTACAGTTTCCTTTTGTAAAGCACAAGTGTCCCATCAATTTTGTGAGACACTGTATATTCATCCGTAGAATATGCATTCGACTCTTTTCATTAACTAGTAAAACAAGCAAAAGTAATATAAATAATGTATATAAAAGAAAAGCGCAAAAGATTAGGTAAAACGTTTTGGCACGGTGCCTACAATTATCTTTATAAAGTTGTCAGTTATTCTTTCATAGACTTAAGTGGCCTCTTTGTAGTAAAAGATTAGTGTAAAAATTATTATTATAATCTAAAACTAGTGCTCCTAACAAACTGATTCCTGCATACAAATTAAATTTAAGCAATATTGCTCTCACTCACATTTTGGTGAAATGAGAAAGTCGTCCTTTTCTTTGGTACAACGCTATGGAATTTAAGAAGTTTTAATGTCAGACAAGGAAAAAAGAACAAAAAATATTAATGCTTCTCTGGTAAAATAATCAAGGTTCTGAACGAAGTTGGTGCCTCGAATATACTCAGAATGCAAGCAAAATCTAAAATTCTTTCTTTTTGTAAAAGAAAATGGCCATGTCGCATGTTTGTATCAGAAAATATGTAGATGAAAGCGATAAACAAATGAACACCATTTGATTGTGTTGCTTTTAAATTGTCCGAAAGCAGATAAGAAAAGAAAAATTTCTGAACATAATTGCAGTTGAACGACTCAGTTTTTAGAACACTTGACCTAATAATGTGAGTTGGAATTTCTTCTGCAGAGGTTCGAAAATATTCTCTATTGTCCAAAGGAAACAGCTCATTCGCAGAAATCATATAGTAAGGAAAGGAGATAGCTCAAGAAGACAATAAGGAAAATTTTATCTTAATTGCTTTAAACGGTTAACTCATTCAAGATAAAGCCTTTTTTGAAGTTCTTACTCTAGAATATTATTAAAGTTATGTGAATATTAAAGTTTTCCCCTGTTTTATGACTTCAATTTAATTATGTCTTTTATGAATATTTAATGTAGTCCTTATATATAAATATCTTGACTCAGATTTATAATTCACTTTTTCAAAAAGCGCATGTGTTATGAAAGCAATCAAAATGGTATAATTTAAAGGAAATCAATTGTACTTTAAACTAAGCACGATAAATCAGAAATTATTGTACAATTCTCCTAAGAGAATCGACTAAAATTTCGCTTCCACTTCGGTAACTTTTTTTTTCTTCTAAAATACAGTCAAGAACTTAATGACTTAATGAAAAAAAAGAAAAAAATG